CATACGATCCCACAGTTTAAGGGCTTAGTCCCACAAGCCTGCACTCACCACCCACTTTAGATGCCAACTGCATGTCCAGTTGTGTCCTGTGCTTTTGACCCAACTGTTGTAGATTGTAGTTCCAACAGCCTCCTACTTGGTCTGAGTGATATGCTAGAGCAGGTCACATAACTCAGAGAAACATTATACCTACTAGATCACCAGTTTATTATAAAAAGATAGAACTCAGGAAGAGACGGATGAAAGGCATGGAGAAGGTATGGGGAAAGGACACGGAGCACCCATGTCCTCTCCGAACATGCCATGACCCCCCACCCCAATTTCCACATGTTCACCAACCTGGAAGCTTTGTCAGCTTAGTCATGTTGAGTTTTTATGAAGATTTCATTGCATGGGCTTCATTGATTAAACCATTGGCCATTGGTGATTGAATCCACTTCTAGCCCTTCTTCCCTCATAGGAAACTAGGGGTGGAGCTGAAATGTTCAACTCTCTATTTCTGGTTGCTTCCCCTGGAAACAAGTCCTCATTCTTAGATGCTTTCAAAGAGTTACATTATTAACATAAACCTGTGTGGTGGAAAGGGGTTTGTTATAAATACCAAGACACTCGTTTCATCTCTGTGGCTGTGAAGACATCTCGGGACTGAGAACAAGAGACCATCACAACAAACGGTGCTCCCGCGCTCCAAGCCAGGAAATGCCCAGGGTCTGGGTGTTATGGGGAAGCTGAGGTCACACTTTCCCCACCGAGTGCTGGGAGTAGAGTCTTTTGCCTACTCTAAGGTTAGCTATAGGTTTTATATAAATAGAAAAACAATGTTTCTCTCTCTCTCTCTTCCTCTCTCTAACACAAAAGGACCATTTCCTGAGACACCTCCTCTGAACTGTTTGTTGTTCACAACACCATTTCTGACACCAAATGTGTGGGTGTTTTCCCCCACATCAGCCAACCTCCAATTCTCCAGACACCAACGTGGTGCCCTCAGATTCAAGTCAATCCTGACAGTCATTGCCTGGAGTTAGACAGGCATCCTGCACTAAATTCTCAGGTGCACATGCTGCCTCCACATCAGACACCAACCATAAGTCTGGGCCACCCATGCATCTAAAAGACTGGCTATAAAATGGGGGTTCCCACAGTCCCCTCCTCAGGTTTGATAATTTGCTAGAACAGCTAACAGGACTCAAAAAAGCAGTTTACTTCCTATTACTGTTTTGTTTGTTTTTTTAAATAAAAGATTCGACTCAGGAACAGCCTGGGGTGCACAGGAGGAAGGATGGGGAGGGTGCAGAGCTCCCATGCCCTCTCCTGTCACAGGACTCTCCCAGCAGCACCTGTAAGTTTTCTGAACCCCCTCTTTCAGGGTTTTTGATGAAGTGTTATTACATAGTCATAATTGATTAAATCATTGGCTATTGGTTATTGATCTAATCTTCAGCTCATCTCTTACCTGGAGGTAAGGGGTAGGGGGCGGGGGAGGGATCAAAATTCACATCCTTCTAAATCATGTAACTGGGTACTCTGGCAACCAGCCCCCATCCTGAAGCTATCTTGGGCCCCAGTCTCCTCATTAGCATAAGCATAGGTAAGATTGAAAAGAGCTCGTTATGGATAGCAACAGGTCCTCTCACCTGTCACTCAGGAAATCACAGCTGCGTCTGGCCGGTGCTCCTTGGTCGGAGTGTTGTCACTATACTGAAAGGTGGGGATCCCATTCCCAGTTGGGGCTCATACACAGGTTTCGGGTTGGATCCCTCGTTGAGTCTCATACAGGAGGAACTAATCAATGTTTTTTCTCTCTCTCTTCCTCTCTCTAAAATCAATGGAAAACATATCATTAGATGGGAATTTTTTTTTTAAAGAACAAATTCCAAGGTTGGCTTTTAGGGGCGGGGGGGAGGAGCAGTGTGGTAGGGGAGGGAGGGAAGCTCTGTGCCCTCCCCTACCCTTTGCCTGATACCTCAGGCTGTTTCTGAGTTGAATCCTTTATATAAAAACAAACCAGTAATAGGAAGTAAACTGCTTTTGTGTCTGTATCAGGAGACAAAGACAAAACATATATATAGGGTACGGCAAAAGAGGCTTACAGTTGTACCTACTTTTGCTACATCCTTTATGTGTTATACACATATATATACATATACACATACACTGAGTGGCCAGATTATTATGACCACCCATCAGTACTTCGTTGGGCCACCTTTTGCCTTCAGTACTGCGGCGATTCTTCTTGGCATTGACTCCACGAGATATTGAAAGGTGATGCGAGGAATCTGACACCGTGCCTGATGAATAGCACTGTCCAGTTCTGTGAGATTTGATGGTTGTGGAACTAGCTGCCTGATGGCTCTTTTAACTTCGTCCCACAAATGCTCAATTGGATTGAGATCTGGTGATGGTGGGGGCCACCTAAGCAAGGTAAATCTCCCTCATGTTCTTGAAACCACTCCTGCACAATACGAGCACCATGGCATGGCGCATTGTCTTGTTGGAAGAAGCCATCTCCATTGGGGTACGCCATCAACATGATAGGATGAACGTGATCAGCAACGATACTTAGGTATGTTGTGCTATTCAGACGTTGTTCCACACAAATTAAAGGGCCCAAATCATGCCAGGAAAACATGCTCCAAACCATAACACTGCCCCCACCAGCTTGAAGGGTTGTACTCATGCATGCAGGGTGCATGCTTTCATGCTGTTTCTGCCAAATTCTCACTCTTCCATCTGCATGATGCAACTAGAAACGTGATTCATCAGACCACACGATTTTTTTCCAATGCTTGACTGTCCAATCTTTGTGTTCCTGTGTGAATTGGAGACATTTTATCTTGGTAACTGCAGACAGCAAAGGTGTTCGAACAGGCCTTCAGCTTCCATATCCCATACGATGCACTGTATGGCTAATTGGCCTACAAACATCAGGTGGTCATAATAATCTGGCCACTAAGTGTATATATCTTACTAGCGGCCCGGTGCATGAAATTCATGCATGGGGGGTGGGGGATGGTCTCAGCCCAGCCTGAACCCTCTCCAATCCTGGGGATCGGCCCTAAACTGGCAGTCAGACATCCCTCTCACAATCCTGGACTGCTGGCTCCTAATTGCTCACCTGTCTGCCTGCCTGGTCACCCCTAACTGCCCCCCCTGCTGGCCTGATCACCCCTCGCTGCCTCTGCGTGCCAGCCTGATCACCCCCAACTGCTCCCCCCTGCCGGCCTGGTCACCCCAGCCTGCTGCTCAGTCACTTGGTTGTCCCTCACTAACCCCCCTGCCGGCCTGGTCATAGGCAGCCATCTTTGTGAGGGCATGATGGTCAATTTGCATATTACCTCTTTATTATATAGGATTACATCACCATATCACACCCCACACCAAGTGAAGAGGGTCAATAATCTGGGTTCCATTCATGCTGTGGACTTGTTTGAGATTTAGCCTTGGCTATTTCACCCTCCACTGTGTGAAAATATATGCACATTACTGTGAGTCAAAATGAGTCCAAAGAAAATGTTTACAACTATGACATCCAGAGTCTGGTGATCTGAAAGGTGAGAATTGGTTTGCAAGTAGTCAATACGCATTGTGTCCATAAATGTGTTCTGTGTGTTGGATGCACTACTTTCACTTCCTAAACTTCTGTGGCATCTTCCGGGCAGGAACCTTGGCATCCAGGGATGAGCTGACCTGAATGGCTTTCCCAGGCCCTTGGAGCAGACTGGGTGGCTGCTTCTAACCTGGAGAGCTATGCAAAGGAGTTTGTGTGTGGCAACAACATGCAAATCTTTGAGTCTCAATTGAATTCCCTGAGTTTTCTCTGAGTTTGAGAGTCAAATAAATTCCCAGGCCCCACCTGGGTGCGTTCAGACCCGCCTTGCCAGGTCTGTGGAAGTGTCTGGCTCCTCCGCGTGGCTTAGCTCACTGGAATGAGAGCACAGCACCCAGGGCTTCCAGACCCGTGTGTGGGTTGCTCTGAGGTCAGGCAAAAAGTGGAATTGGACTAAACAAACTGACAGAGTTGGGATACAACCACTAAATGTCTTTTGGATTTGTCACAATTTCTTTTTCTTAAAACGTGGCTTCATTTTGCTGAAATAAAGCAGACCAACATTATACCAGTTTGAAATATAGGGTTGATACGTAAACAGATCATTGACCCATTTCCTGGAGGTTTAGCCTCTGCCCCATCTGATTGTTGTCTTTGCTGTGGAATAAGAAGCAAAGGCTGCAGGGTGAGCTCTGAGCCCAGGGCTCTGGGCCCGGCCTTCCCTCTCAGAGCTCCTGCGGCACTTCTCCCTGCCTCAGAGCGGCCTCTCCACAGAGGTTCAATGCCAGTTCTGGACTCGCCAGTGGCATGGCTGCAACTTCACAGAAATGTGAACTAAGTAGAGAAATGGAGAAGCCTTGGGAGTAGGCATCACATAGGCTAGGGATTTTTTGGGGTGTGGAAATCAGTGAGAAAGTGTAGCCAGTGGGGTCCAATCAGGAAAGAGAAACCACAAGTAGGCTAAACAGCATATGTGAACACTAATGAACAAAGTAAACTAACAAGCAAAATAGAAACAGACTCATAGAGACAGACAGCAGCTGACACCTGTTAGAAGGGAGGGGGGTGGGGAGCTTGTGAAAAAGGTGAAAGGATTAAGGAAAAAAACATCTCAGAGACACAGGCAGCAGCATGGTGGTTAGCAGAGGGGCAAGGTGAGGGGAGGTAGAAGAGGGAAAAGGGGGATAAATGGTGACGGAAGGAGACTTGACTGTGGACGGTGGGCACACAGCACAGTATACAACATACTGTAGAACTGTACACATGAAGCCTATATAATTTTATTAACCAATGTCACCCCAATAAATTCAATGAATATTTTTAAAAAATACATTAACCACATTAAAGGAAAACCTATAAGCTATAAGGGACTCCCTGTGGTAGCCTCGGGCTGAGAGATGGTCTGCAAAGAAGGACAGGGGAGTTAGAAGGGGTTTTGGTCTCTCTGGACCAGGCGTGGATGGGGCACTGGGCCCCGAGAAGCTGCGGGTTAGCCGGGCTGGAGCTGGTGTGGGGTTGCTTGCTGGGCAGATGATAGACCACCTCCGGGGGCGGCCAGGAGCGTGCGCGGAGCACGGACCTGCAGGGGATCCTGTTCTCGGGAGGGGAAGGAGCACACAGGCCTGCTGGGCTTTCCCCAGGGATCACCGGGAGAACGATGTGAAGTTGCAGAGGGACCACTTTCAGGGCCTGTGGCTCTGGCAGGATCCACGCGAATTCCTCCTTTCCGCACGCTGACCCCTCCCAGGCCATGACGATGTTGGGGAAGCCCCTTCCTCCTCCATGTCCCTCCGCTGAGATACCGCCACATGGTGCTCACGTTAAAGAAGAAATGCTTATAGGAGTTTCACTGTTGGTTGTAGAGCCCATATTGAAGGGCGCATTTGGAGCTGAGAGGAGATAAACTGGTAATGACAGGGAGCCGAGCAAGAAATAGGGGCTCAGTACTTGAAAGCTGTGAATATGACACTTATTCAGAAAAACTGAATGCATGTAAATTAGCTGGAATACATTTAAAGTTAAGCAGCTGTGTTAATCTTAATTGTCATGTCATTTTTGTTGTGAATTATTTAACTTGACACGAAGTTAAGAATCTGTGTGTGAAACAGTGCTCATCTCTAATTCATGTTTCTTTTCTCTCCTTGATTCTCTGTTTGCCCAGGTCTTATACAATATACTAATCGCCTTCACAAAGATGCACAAGTTCGAAAGCATAGAGCCTGTCGACATTTTGGCTGGATGTGCCCGATTCATCATTGTGGGGGTTGGGGGAGTCTTTTTCGGCATTGTTTTTGGATTCGTTTCTGCGTTTATCACACGTTTCACTCAGAATATCTCTGCAATTGAACCGCTCATCGTCTTCATGTTCAGCTATTTGTCTTACTTATCTGCTGAGACCCTCTACCTCTCTGGCATCCTGGCGTGAGTACAAACTAAGGACCAACTCTCATAGCAATAAAAGAGCATCTAGGCCCACGTCCTATGGACCAGCCTCCGGTGAAGGCTGGGCTACTGATGCTAATTCTCAGAGGTGTGGCAGGATTCGGGTTTATCAGACACATGTAAGACCTGACGCAGGTCCTTGCCAAACACTCTCCAGCATTTGTGTTTGCTCTCCTCTCGTGACCGCCTGAGTGAGCACAGCAAGTATAAGGTCACTTAAACATAATCAGAAAAGCTGCTGCTGACAAAGTCTGGGAGACAGTACATTTTTTTCTTTGAAAAATTCACTCTTCAAGTTAAGGGGAAGCACGCCATGCGGACTGCCTTCTGCATTTCCTTCAAACCACATCGCAGCTCCAGGGCCTTCAGGGTAGAGTGAAACCAGGTAGATGGGACAAGACTAGAAATCCAGGTCCCTTTTTTCTTAGTGAAAAACATTTTGTAAATATTTATTCTTGTGTAGGTCTTGGAATGAGGCTTCTCAACTTGGCCCTTAGACCTGGTCATGTTGTTTTCTCTCTGACATTATTCTCATATGAAGCTGCTTGGGCAGAAATAGTTAATTTTATTGTACAGAGATAACTACTTTAATTAAATATAATAGTGTAAAAGCTAGGAACTCCTATTTTCCACCTTAAAAATGATCAGAACTACTAAGACAAGGCAAAGTTCTCTCCACCCACACCCTTCCTAAGTGGATCTAGACCAGGAACATTTTAAATGAACGATTTCTCATTAAATTATTGTAAGAAATGCTGCTCAGGGGGAGGCACTGGGGAGCGTGTTGAATGACTTCCCAGGGAACCGCCGTGGGTTTACTTGGGTTGGAAAGCAGAGTGAAGTAGAGAGTGAGCAGTTGGCAGAGCTCTTGGGAGGGCGGGCAAGATGGAAAGAGCTGGGCTCCCGGTGTGGCGTGAACTGCCTGCCATTGTGTTGAGGGAAGGCCCTGGCGCCCTCCTCCCCACCACCTTCAAGTCCCGCAAACCCCCGGGGGGCGAAGAGGCAGAAAGAGAATCTGTGGGCAGGCTGCAGCCAGAGAGAGGAGGCGATGTTTTCTCGGGGTAAATATGGGATTTGTGTGTCTGTGGCATCAGCAATAAGGTGGGTTTGCGGGGAGGGCAAGCCTTCTGCTTCTCTCTGAGACTCAGTTCCTCCTGCAGCATCACGGCCTGTGCAGTGACCATGAAAAAGTATGTGGAAGAGAACGTGTCCCAGACGTCCTACACGACCATCAAGTACTTCATGAAGATGCTGAGCAGTGTCAGCGAGACCCTGATCTTCATCTTCATGGGCGTGTCCACCGTGGGGAAGAACCACGAGTGGAACTGGGCCTTCGTGGGCTTCACGCTGGCCTTCTGCCTGGTCTGGAGAGCCATCAGTAAGGGCAGCCCCGCCTGTGGCTTCTCAGTGTCCCCTGCCCTGCAGTGCCCGAGCATAGCATAGTGTGAGGTGCTGCCAACCGGTTCTACTGGTTCAGGGAGCATGGGCACCTTGTGGCCCAAATGCTCTGTTTACTCCTTCACTCAGTTCAAAGTCCTCAGTGGCTGATAAGGCTCTGCCCGGAGCAAGGAGCAGTATTCTTTTAATTGAAGGGAGAATTTCACATCCACACATTAAATACAGCAGTGCCTTTCCCCTGCTCCCACTGCTGCTGCTGTGCCCCCTTGCACCTGAGTCAGATATAGATGCGAGCTGCGAGCTTCGAGCTGCATGCTGAGGGCATTCACACTTTTGTCACAGGAAAAGTGAGATGTCACACATTGTGACCTATGTGAGGCAAGTACTGCTAAAAAAATGTTTTCCTAAATAACATAGATGCTTTCCGTTGAGGGGTGAGTGTGATGTACAGGAATCGAGGACCAGGAATCTTCACTGATAAGCAGTGCTTGGTATTAAGTAATAAAGACAATTCTGTACATGATGCAACTGCATCACCTCTATAAAACATGCCTGACTGGAAGTGAGACGTTTTGACGAATGGCTGCTGATTGATTTTGCTTTATGTTTCTGGAGCTAGAAAAACATTAAGCACTGAACTACAATGTGTGTGTTGACTTTTGACTAGAAGCAATTATATTTTAAAGTGATTTGACTAATATTTAAAGCATTTTAAAATGATTTTGATCAATATTGTCAAGCCAATTACTCAAAGAAAAGTTAGGAGAAGTGGCTGAGAACTTATTAAGCATTAAATTAATTTAGGATAGGTTTTAGGATCTTGAAAAGAATAAGAATGAAGAATATTAAAATATTCATAAAACTTACTCTGAATATATGTGTCTTAGGAGGAAAAACTTTAAGGAAACTGATAGAAATTTATAATCCACATCAAATCTTGGCACTATTACTAACCTGCTATTCGACTTTGGACAGATATTTAACTACTCAAAATATTCCTCCTCAACCACAAACTGTGGGTGTGGACAAGTTTCCAAGTGCCCTGTCAGTGTTAATGCTGTAGGAACGCAGCGTCAGTAAAGCTAACAGGAGAGAAGTTACATGATAGTGCTCCAGCCCAGCCAGCAATAGAAACCATCTAGGGTGTTGGCACTGGGGCTCCTTCAACACCTCTGACCTTGGCGACCACCCAGCCGACTCCCCAACCTCTGACCTTGGCGACCACCAGCTGACTCCCTGACCTCTGACCTTGGCGACCACCCAGCCGACTCCCCGACCTCTGACCTTGGCAACCACCCAGCCAACTCCATGACCTCTGACCTTGGCAACCACCCAGCCGACTCCCTGACCTCTGACCTTGGCAACCACCCAGCCGACTCCCTGACCTCTGACTTGTCCACATCCCAGTGAGGGCAGAGCCATTCTTCCCCCTCCCCCCTAGCCTAGCTCATGGCAGCTTATACTAGTTCACACGCATGGAGGTACATTACTTACAGCTATGAAATTAACTCAACCTACATCCCCCTTCTGCTGGAAATACAATCAGTACCTTCCTTAAGCAGATGCGACATCGAGGACATGACACAGTTAAGAGCCTTGCCCGAGGTCTCATGATTCTTAAGTATATGGGGAGCCAGGACAAACAACAGGAAGGGAAGCGAAGTGAATGTAACTGCCTTGAGCTATCAATATGCCTGTAATCAAGGTTGGGTGCCATGAAGTCTGGTGATTAGAAGTCACATGACGATGCTGAGAGCTGGAGTGTTAGTGAAGGGGCCTCTCCCACCAGGAGCCACTGCACTGATGGCAGTAGGTCACGTGGGTCACCTGTTGGAGATGGAAAATCAATGTGGTAGAAAGTACCTCTGTTTTAAATAAGCTCTCCTGCCCTTCACCCTCCGCTTACAGCAAGAAGCCCTCCTCTTGAATTCTTGCCAACATCCTCTTTTGTTTGCATAGAATCTCAAGAAGAACCAAACCAACCACAAAAGATTTGCTTCCCCTGAAGAGACCATAGTCACAGAGAAGGAGGCTCCTCTTACACTGAAAATTACACACCTTCTTTGGTTACTCAGTGAGAACATGAGATGATAGAAATGTTTTATTCCCCAGACAATACTCTGGCTTTATCTTGTTTTGAAAGGCAGAGCAAAACTATGAGTATAGATTAGAAAGTCTATGCCATGTCTCATAACAAAAAGTGTCAAAATGTTATGACTTTACCTACACACACTCACAGAGGGCTCTCGGGAGCGCTGCTGTTTGGGACGGGCGTCACGGGGAGAAGCAATGAGGATGCCAGCTTTGAAGGCACCGCACACGCCGTGGCTCTCTAGCATTGTACCTCCAGTTACTCACGACCCTCTGCTCTACACATATCTCCCCTCTCCAGGCGTGTTTGCTCTCTTCTATGTCAGTAACCGGTTCCGGACCTTCCCCTTCTCCATCAAGGACCAGTGCATCATTTTCTACAGCGGCGTTCGAGGAGCTGGCAGCTTTTCGCTGGCGTTTCTGCTGCCTCTGTCTCTTTTCCCTAGGAAGAAAATGTTTGTCACGGCTACTTTAGTAGTTATATATTTTACTGTGTTTATTCAGGTTGGTAGATTTTATTCTTATTTGAAAGAAGTAGATTCTTTCAGGATTATGCATTAAATTGCTATACCAAAAAGGTACACTTTATTTGATTCTCAGACATGATTTTCTATCTCTATATCTTCTTTTTATTATTTTTAGAAATTAGATAATATATCCAAACTAATTTCCCAAATATTTCTAGATCATGTTTGTGGTATCCTTCAACCTCTAAAATATGTTGGTTTTTAACCAGTAAAACATTCATCAAAATATTCCTTGGTAACAGGTGAATTATCTGTTCAGTGTGTTGCTAAAAATGAGATTCCAATTATTACTTAATAGCACAGATTTTTATTTTAGCTTGCACTACTTTTTAGCAAACTATGAAGAGGTTATTTTAAGGGAGGAAACTAAACTCCTGCTTTAAAAATATTGACATAATGCCTATTTTTTACATAATTTAAACGAATTAAATAATAACTAAAGAGAGAAGCATTTAGCCAATAGAAGCTAGTAAAAAAAACAAAGACATAAAAATTGGAAGTTCTAGTACCTTCATTAATAGACTTGTTCTCTATTATGACAATCTTCACTACAATAAACCCCTTTATTTTGTTACTATGCTCTAGGGAATCACAATTGGCCCTCTGGTCAGATATCTGGATGTTAAAAAAACCAATAAAAAAGAATCCATCAATGAAGAGCTTCACATCCGTGTAAGTTAATTCTGTCATAATTAGTAAGTTAGTAAAATGCGTTCTGCTTGCCGCCTCTGGGAGTGACCTAGGGCTTTGATGAAACATGTGTGCACATCCCTGGACAGAGCCTCTTTCCTCCCCAGCTCCACCAAGAGTGGCTGTACCAACTCCTTATTGCTACTGTGAGAAATAACTACAAACTCAGTGGTTTAAAAAACACAAAGTTTCTATTTCTGGAAGTCAGAAATTCAAAATGGCTCTCGATGGGCTAAAATCAAGATGTGGTAGGGCTGCATTACTTTCTGGAGGTTTTAGAGAAGAATCTATTTCCTTGCCTTGTCCAGCTTCTAGAAGCTGCTGGCATTCGTTGGCTCCCTGGACCCCGTCCTCTTCGTAGCTAGTGGTGGCCGGGCAGGTCTTTCTCATGCTGTGTCACTCCAATACTGACTCTTCTGCCTTCCTCTTCCATACTGAAGACTTTTATGATTATATTGGGCCATGTGGGTAATTTAGGATATTCCATCTTAAAGTCAGCTTACTGGCAACCCTAAGTCCATCTGCTCTTAATTCATCTTTGCATATGTATTAATATGTTCACAGGCTCTGGGCATTGGGACACTGACATCTTTGGAGACCATTATTCTGCCTACCACAAAGGTTCATGTCTCTTCCACATGCAAAATACATTAGCTCTATCCCAACATCCTAAACGTTTCAATACATTATTTTAACTCAAAGACCAAAAATCTCACCTAAATCTTATCAGTTCAAAAGTCCCAAAGATGATCATCTCAGTCATCTAAATGAGGCACGGATGGGGCCCTGGGTATAACCCTTCCTGAGGCCAAGCTCCTCTCCAGTTCTGAACCTGTGACACTCAAGAAATAAGTTATCTGCTTCCAAAACACACTGGTAGGAAAGTCATCAGCAGCAGCTATAGATATTCACTTTCAAAAGGGAGGAGAGATGAAAGGACAAAAGGAGTCATCCAGCCCAAGCATATTTCTCAGTTCACCTGGGAAAACTATTTGGTTTCAAAGCCTGAGAACAATCTTCTGTGACTCTTTGTTCCACCTTCTTGGTTTTAAACTCCACCCTCTGAGTCATACTCCTTTTTACATCCAAGGTGGCCTGTTTGGAGCTCATTAATTTGATCAGCCTGTTTCTTGCCTGTAGAGTTTCGGGGATCTCAAAGCCTTCTTTATTTTGTCTTCCCTCTCTCTCTTCTGGTCCAAGCTGGCAGTGTTTCTGAGGAGAAAAGCAGAACCACTAGGAGATATATATTAAGACCTTTGTTACAAGGAATTGGCTTGTCTATTGTGGGGACTGGCTAGACATGTCCAAAATCTATAAATAGGTCATTAAGTTCTAAAGCTGGGAAACTGCTTGTCACTCCAATACTAACTCTTCTGCCTTCCTCTTCCATAGTAAAGACTTCCATGATTATACTGGGCATGCGCTATAGCTTCTGTGCTCAAGTGGCAACCTCAGCTCTGCTCTTCAGGCCTTTCAACTGATCAAATCAGGCCCATGCACGTTCTCTAGAGTCCTCTCTTTTACTTAGAGTAGCTGGTTCTGGACTTGAATCATATCTACAAAGTGCCTTCACTGCAATATCTAGACGGGTGTTAATAATGACTGGGGACTTGCCTAGATAACCTGACACTTCAGAAAACTATCGCTGTGGCTAATGTGGAGAGTTGTCCTACTTGGCGCTGAAGTCCTTGTTCCAGTGGAACCTGGTCCCCTGCCCTTCCTGACGTTTGGTTAGAAAGGGGTGAAGGCTGCTACTACCTCAGCAGATGGCTCCGTGGTGGAGTTCAGTGAAAGTATCCACATCTGACAGAGAGGAGAGTGAAGTTGAACATGGCTTCTACCTCTATTTTATTGAAGTTCTATGCAATCGTGAAGGGATGTCATTCTATGTGGCTCCAGGGAATAAAAATGAGAGTGAATATACGGAAGATATAGGGAAAGAGACTTCGGCTCAGTTAATAAAGAACACTCTGACTTGTTTCTTACGTGGCACACCCAAAGCTTAAATGATTGGGAACATGTGGCATAGATATTGTACAGGAGGTCGGAGCTCTGAGGGGATGATTACTCGGGTAATTTTTAGGTTTCTCTCATCCTTGTGAATTCACGATGCTAAAGCTGGAGAAACTGCTGAAATCATTCCAAATCAGCCCTGAATTTCACGGCCAAAGTCACCTGAGGAAATAAAGCAAATTAAATTTCAGAAAACCCAAATCAAAATTTTCAAAGTCATTTAAAAATATTCAATAGATGAGGATAAGGATTATTTTAAAATAAGTAATGCTTTAACCTAATTAACAATTTTTGTTTCTATCTTTATCCCCTCTGCTCATTATTTTGAGAAATTGGAGATTATGTAGTTAAGACAATAGAAATTGGATATTTCTTTCTTATTTATTTTTCTCAAAAATGTTATAATTATTAATAGAATATCCATCATTAAATATTTCAGAATTAATTTAATATTTTAATCTATTTTGCAAAAAATTTTAGAAGCTAGTATAAATCTTAATGATCACAAATTTAAATTATATCAAGACTAATTTATAAATTTTTGAGATTATCCTTTTTCCCTAAATTCCTATGAAAAATTTTTATAAATCAAATGTAGTATAACTGGCTTGGATGATGAAATGTAAATGCTGAGACAAAATGTCAGATAAAAGAATAGGGGCATAGGTAAATTTTATTATTATATGTTATTATAAAATATTTGCAGTATTATATTTTAGAAATTGTATAAATTGGATAATATCATTATCTTTTCTTTTGCAATGAAATTAAAAGTAATTATTTATTAGGCTTTATATCCATGTGATTTCAATAATGAGATATTTCCTAGATCATCCTAGAAAAATATGATGCAAAGGAAATGGCAAGTAACCTGTTTTCATTGCAAGTTATATGCATTGTTAATGAACTTTTTTCTGCAGTCTTTCAATCATGAAATGGAGTTAAATCACTATGAAAAGAATGACACGTTTCAGTGGCGTGAACAGAGTGGGAGAGGAGGCTGAGCTCCAAGAAATTAAGGCCTCCTTTGTGCCCCGGGAGCACCAGCGTGCCCTGTGTGTCTTTTAGCGTTAACCTTTCACCACCAATCATTTTCTCGCATTTGGTTTGGCAGCTGATGGATCACTTGAAGGCGGGAATTGAAGATGTGTGTGGGCAATGGAGCCACTACCAAGTGCGAGACAAGTAAGGAGACAGGGTTTCACTCTCTAGAAAGGATGTTGATGGCATGGGAACCTCCAAGGGTTACACTGAAGCTGAGCACAAAGCTAGAAGGAATCTAGAGGCGGGACCAGAAGACAAAGGGCCTGGGACCGCCGTAAAAGAAGCTGGGGAAATAGGACTCTCAGACTCCCGGTCGGAATGGAGGGAGATAACAATGTCAGGGAGCCATGTTTAGGATTAAATAATAGGATCTGTGTAAGATGTCTCAAATGCATTTCGGCACCCATTTTGGAATTTAGTCTCAGGTTTAAGAGGAAAATTGGGGCTAGAGGTTAAGGTTGTGAGTCGTCAGAGTGTTTGGTAGCCAAAGCCATGGGCGTGGGCGAGGTCACCGCAGAGGACGAAGCGGGGAAGCCATCTCCATGTGGCAGGAAAGAAAGAGAAGGGCGGGGGGACCCCGTCAAAGGGCAGCTGGTGTCCAGGAGGCGGCGGAGGGCGTGGAGGAAAGGCCCCCGGGCGCGTCCTGGAAGCCCCGTGGAATGGCAGCAGGTGGAGCAGGCCGACCAGTTCCCTCTGAGTATAAAGTGATGGGAAGTGTCGAGCATTCCTACTCCGAACAAATGCCGGCTCCGCACATCAACACACACGTGCAGGTCTGTCTGATGAGCCTGCGAGGGGTTCACTATGACAGCCGGCCGCCAGGAGCGACTCCTCCTGCGAGGTGTGTGGGTTCTCCCCGCCCCGCACTTCCCCTCCCCCTCAGTCGGCAGGCTTGAAAGTGACCTTCAGCATAATGGGCAAAACCACTGCAGCCACAGGCCACGGAAACTGACCAGGTCTGGGTGGGAGAGGCCGGAATTACTGTCAGTACAGCTGCCACTGTTAAGCTATTAGAGTGAAACACTGGTTCAAAAGCCTCAACCCCTCATTCCTTCTCTTACAATTGGAGCTGAGCTAGGCTGGCCTCCCTGCTCCCCCTTACGCACCCTTTTTGTCCCGGCTTGTCCCTTCCTTTTGTTTTGTTGATTCTTCCTTTATTTTTTAAAAAATGCATTAATCCTATGATTATAATTTTTTTAAATGTGTTCAGCGGCTATGACTTCCAGGCACTGTCCTGGTGTTTCTCAGACTGAGTTAAGTAGTAGTTTGTTTTAAGAAAAATACATCGTTACACAACATGCACAGAAAGTACACATTTCCAAAGGTTGGCTTTGTTTTCAGGTTTAAGAAGTTTGATCACAAATATTTACGGAAAATCCTAATCAGAAAGAACCTGCCGAGGTCCAGCATCGTTTCCTTGTACAAGAAGCTGGAAATGAAGCAAGTTCTTGAGATGGCGGAGACCGGGGCCCTGAGCGCCACAGCCTTCTCCAGGCCCCACCAGTAAGTGCCAGCTGCGCTCTGGTCTAGATTAGTTTTTCGTGTGTAAAATGTTTTGCAATTACAGTTTACTTTAAATATTATGGGTCTGAGTTTCAGGTGCACAGCATAGTGGTTAGACAATCATATACTTTACAAAGTGGCCCCCGATATTTCCAGTGCCCCCGACACTGTTATGCCCAGATTCCATGATCCCCAAAGACCAGACTGGGAGCCAGTTTGATGCAAAAGCAGAAGGTCCTTTTATTGGGGGCGCCAACCCGACTCTGCTCCCGGCCGGCCCAGCGACCAGAACAGAGTGCCCTCCCGTGGGAAAAAACCGGCTTTAATAGGGGGATGGAGCGAGGGGATTGTGGGCCCTGCCGATTGGCCAGGCGCAAGCCGGGTCTTGTTACACAGGATGTGGTCATATCTACGGCGCGCACTTCCCTTGATTGTCATTGGTTAGTTTAAAATCCCGGGCGTGGCCAGCAGGGGCCTGGGCTTCCAGGAAGAAGGCCGCATGTGGCCCCAATATGGAGGATACAGGCAAGATGGAGGGGAGGGCATAGCCCTCGCCCTTTCAACACCATGCGTAGATATTATCACATTGTTGACTGCATTCCCTGTGTTGTACTTCACAGCCCTGTGACTATGCTGCTACTACCAATTTGTACTTTTTAATCCTTCACCTTTTTCACCAGCCCCCGCCCCCTCCCCTCCGGCAACACTGATGGAGACTTTCAGTGTCAGGGCTCCCAGGGGCATGCCTCGTTGCTTTGCTTATGGGTAATCCCGGGTGGGGAAAGGTACACGTATGAGGGAGGATTGTGAAAAACAGACCATCTTGCCGTTTTGTGGCTTGGTCACGATCAACCTGTTTCACCTAATTCCTGGAACTACCTTCAAGCAAAAGTTGCCTTCCTTGGAAGGGAGAAGCAAGTGAATGTTTAGAATTCTAGCATATTTTACAAGGCTTTCTCTTTCTAATTAGAAGTCTCTACCCTCTGACCCCTATTCACTTGATTCTGCTAGTCCTGCCACTGCATTCCTCCCACAATCATTTTCCTTCCTCTCTTGTATGAAGTCAGCATTCTGAGGCACTAACTTGGATTTGGGGATGAGTGGGGCTAGCAAGAGGCATGATGGTTGGGAACTATTTTAAAAGAAAGCTGTGTTTACCATTGTGTCTAAGGCAAAAAAAAAAAAAATCCGTGTGAGATTTGCCTGGAGTCCGTGTGAGACTAGCTTGGAGTAGGATTGGGAGGGGCAGGCTTCCTGTGGACCGGGCCGTAGGGAGTTGGTGGAGAGGCAGTGTGTGTGGAGGGGCAAGACCTACATAAGCCCAGCATTATAAGAAGATTCCCTTGGAAGCGTGGTGCTTCCATTGGAGCATTAGGAAACCCATTATCCTAGGAGCTGACTCAATATATTTTTTATATACTTTTATTGATATCAGAGAGGAAGGGAGAGGGGGGAAGAGATAGACACAGCAGTGATGAGAGAGAATCATTGATTGGCTGCCTCCTGCATGCCCCACCCTGGGGATCGAGCCCACAACCCGGGCATGTGCCCTGACTGGGAATTGAACTACAACCTCCTGGTTCATAGGTCGACGCTCAACCACTGAGCCACGCCAGCTGGATTCAATATTTTTTAAAGCTGTTTTAACTCTCTAACATTTAACAAGAGCCCCTTCAATATCACAAGAATTAATTCACCACCACCCCCAGATGCCCAGTTTTCTTCTAAGAAATGCCTTCTGATTTGAGCAAATTAATCAGAAGGTCTGTTTCGGGTGAGGAACCCCAGCCCCTCCACCTGATCTACTCAGTTGGTAAGGACACTTGATCATGAGCTTCACTAATGTCCTCACGTTGCGAGAAGAGCTAAGAATAGAAGTTAATCAGATTGTCACCAACATCTGGGTGTTATTTCTCACCCCTCGTGAGTGAGCAGCACCTGCCTCGCTTCCATGGCCTTGCGTGAGCTCCGGGTCAGCAGGAAGCTGCCTGCCCATTTGTCAGCCGACTGTTTTGAGGTTGCTCAGTTTGTGTCAGTGCTGCCCATTGCATGTCTTCGAGGAAACTCCCTGAGGAAGAGCTAGCAAGTGTGTGCATTGGTCGGGCGTGCTAGGCCAGGTGAGAGCCTGAAGCAGAAAGAACATTGAGTAATAGCGATCCTGTCCTTATTTAAGAGGTTGATACTTCATTCACCAGGGATTCTTTGCATTGACCTTTATTTCCTAACGAACTGCATTCAAATCCCATTAGCTTGATTGCTGACCTGTGGTGTGGAGGCAGGTGTAGGGAGGGGCACCCTCTTACCAGAGGCCAGTGTCCCCTGGGCCGGGCCTCACTTTGGGCCCAATCCTGTTCCTCAGGCACCTGTTATGTAAAAGCAGACGCAGTCCTGCCCTCATGGAGCTGGGTCATGACATTAATACAGAAGGGATATTAATAAAGTCCAAGGTCACACACTGATCATCCTAAAGCCTGGGAGCTATGCGAGTATAGAGGTACAACCACCCGGAGCGCTCTGACCTGCTCACAGGAGGGTGAGCGCTAACCCAGTGCACAGCGGGAGGCTGGACAGGCTCCGGCAGGTTAGGCCTGGGGACTTCCTCCTGTGGTTTGCTTACCAGTTAGGTGAGCACTTGGTCTAGGAATGCTTATCTCAGTGACAATCAGTCTACCTTGAGCTAAAACTTAACCTGAATCTCCATGTTACATGGCTCTGGCAGAAACAGTGGCCCCCACTTCTGGCCTGAAGGAATTCTAAGCCAGCTTTATTGGGGGGGGCGGTGGGCAGGGGGGCTTCTGTTGAGGTTATGATTTTTTTCCGGACAGGTTTAAAACCTTGACTCAAGATTGGTAAGAAAACCTTCTAGGTGAGAGACACGTGCTTCCATCTATTGCCCGAACAGTGGGGAGGCTTTTTAAACTTATATTTAATTCAAGTTTAGTAGTGAAGTTACATTTATTTGATCTCATCAGAAATATGTCGGACACCAAGCAAAAAGGAATTCCGCTCCAAAGATCAAAGCAGCTAATTTCTTAATAAACAAACCTTCACACAATAATAGGAAAAAGAAATGTGTGTTCAGCTCACTTTTTATTATTCTGCATAAAATGAAAACAGCAAAATGCACATGTATTTTTTTGGAAGTTAAGCGATTATCCCACAAGAGGCTCAGATTTGCAAACTGTGGCTTCAGGGGCACCTCCCACCGAAGCCGTCCACAGCACGCTGCACTGCTGTGGTTCCCAGGGCTTTCCCTGGTTTTACATGAACCTCAAAACAACCCTATGGAATAGGTAGAGTATGTCCTTGAATTATCATTTTAATGTGAGGCATCTCATTTTACCAGTGAGTAGTAAGCTCTTAGAAATACCAGAGGATAGAGGTTCAAATTGATTAAAACTGTGGAAGCTTTAAAAATTATTTGGTTAATATTTTAGAGCTATTGAAATATTTATAAATTTATAGACATAGCAAACTACAACTCCACAACTTAAAAATATTATATTTTAAAATTTCCAAATAATTTTAATGTCATTTATAAAAAGTATAAAATTATTGTAGTTTAAATGTTTTTTATTTGATCACATGTTGATAGGCATAAATTTAGCTTTATGCATTCTTATGCCAAAGACTCTGGAATGAAGACCCAATGCCATTTTCATTCTATAGTGGAGCCTTGTGGGGGAGTCAGGACTGCTCCGCCACTCTTCACTCCTTCCAAATGCTGGCCGTCTTGGGGACCTTCCTAAAGGTCACCCCAATAGTGTAATGGGAGAAACAGACATGGGCAGCCACGCTCACACGCTGTTGGGCACATTGTTCACTCAGTGAGCATGGCCTTTGGCATCTTAACATATTTCCCAGGGATTTTGTGCATAAAGCTATTAAGGGGATGGATTCTTCTAAATGAACCAGGGTATAATATTTTATTTGGGGGGAATTAATATTGTGGCATGAATATAACATCTACCAGATTTTATATCTATATTACTTGGAATTGAAGCCTCTTTTTACATTATTCTAGCATTTTAAAAAGTTAGGAGAAATGTCAACCTTTTGTTTGAATACATTTAGATTCATACTTTCCCATTCAATTTTTGTTTGTTTGTTAATCCTCACCCAAGGATATTTTTTATTTTTAGAGAGAGTGGAAGGGGAGAGGAGAGAGAGAGAAAGAGAGAGACATGGATTGGTTGCCTCCCGCACATGCCCTGACCAGGGCCAGGACCAAGCCTGCAACCAAGGTACATGCCCTTGACAAGAATCAAACCCAGTACCCTTCAGTCCACAGGCCAATGCTCTATCCACCAAGCAAAACCAGTCAGGGCCCATTTGATTTTAATAGCCATGGAATTTCCATAGAACCTTTGTTTAAGGTGACAGAGAATTCTTTTATGGATAATGAGTGAAGGTTCAAATGACAAAGATCTTTCAGTTTACAGCTTTTCTTTCTTTTGACCAAGAAATTATTAACATTTCATTTTTCTAAGGATTGTATCCCCCCTGTACTTGTGATGTTAGTATTTCAGGGGTGATTCTGCTAATCGAGTGGCATGTGGAAAACTCCCGGTGTCACCGGCCCAAGTTAGCAGCTCATCTGTACAGCTTTGTGGCTGCAGCTTTGTGTGGATGAATGAGAGGAGCGAGAGAGGATGCCCTGGGGCCTGTACCACACACCCAGCGGCAGCCTGCACTCACTTTTAATTACGCTTGGCCCCTCCTAACGTGGTCAGTTATAAACCAAGGAGTGTGCCAAGTTAGATCCACTCTATCTATTTGGTTGTTTTATGATGCATACACAGAAAATGGAACTGTTTGATTAGCTGTTTTTTCTGCTTAGCAATAGATTACTTCCACCATAATACAGGAATGTGTTCAGATTGTTGAAATGTGTGGGTGTATCTAAATCAGAATAAATTTTATTTGAAGGACATTTAAACAGTTAAGTTGAAACGTCTTTATGATAATGTTCAGTTTACCAAGGGTGGTAACTGCATATCAATAGTGTTGACAGTTGTAGTGCTAAGCTATGGAGACTCTGGTTCAGCAATACTGTAGAAAGAGCATTAGTTAGTGTGCAGACAGCATTGCTCAGCACACCCTGGCATACTGTGATGGCCAGTAGTCACATCTTTAACACTCTTACCAATTGAAAATTACTTACAGGACGTCCTTGCTATTTATGGCTATACTAGAGGCCCGGTGCATGAATGGGGTCCCTCGGCCTGGCCTGAGCCCTCTCACAATCCAGGACCCCTTGGGGGATGTCAGACTGCCAGTTTCGGCCCGGTCCCTGCAGACCAGGCCAAGGGATCCCACCGGTGCAAGAATTTGTGCACTGGGCCTCTAGTATGCATATAAGATCTTTGGATAATCTTTTCCTGCCCTCCCCCTACCCTCTTCCCTTTGAGATTTATCAGTCTGTTTCATGTTTCCATGCCTGTGCTTGAGCATCTGCCCCTTGGTGGTCAGTATTTGTCATAGCTGCTGGTCAAATGGTCACTTAGGTTTTTATATATATAGATAGCTACCAATGCTTGGGAAAATTGTTTAAAAGTGGCCTGTTTGGAAACTAGTAACTACTCACCTCTGTGATCAATTACCCTAAGACTTGCTTTGCAAGCAGCTGTTAGCACATTCAGAAGTGCTGCAGCCAGAGAGGGAAAAAAGAAGTCAAAACTCTGTAAGGGTTTATACCAAGTGTTAAGGTAGTAGTATTAAAACAGGAGAAAATAGTATTAACAGAGGGGTTTAATTCCTTTAGTGCTCTCTTTTTAGTTCTTATGTTCTGCAGTGAACATACATTACTCGTGCAATAGTAATAGAAATTACCTCCCCTAAATTCAAATGACTGAAATCAGATACATTTCTCAATGTGATGTCATGACTTGGAAACCCTCAGAGGACAATTGTGCATTGAGGCTGACCTGAGTATGACTTAGTTTTTGAGCCCTCAGGGCGGTGGCCAGGGGGACTCAGGATGAAGGAAACAGTGGGGATCTGGTCTGTGCGGAGGCAGTGAGCAGTCAACTGTTTCAAGAATCTCACAGAGTCCCAGTGTCTCAGAACTGAGCTGGCTTTTTCATGATGAAAACGTCCCAATTCTCCTTGTAAAATATGATACTAGTTTCTTACAATGTCCTTTAACTGAAGATAAAATTCCTAAAGGAACAATCCCAAGGTAGAGGTATTCATAAAGGCACGCATAACATGGTAAAGCTCTTAGCTCAGTGCTGCTGAAAGGTGGTATGTGGAAAGCGCTGCCCATGAGTGTGGCTCACACCCACAACAAGCACAGGTCAGGTCAAGAACAGCCTTGACTGGGGAGTCTTATTGCTGTTGAATCGAATAGTAAAATATTCAGTTTGCATTTTATAGTATTTTTAAAATTTTTATTTTCCAATCATTGACTTTGTGTTTTACAAACATGTTTGATCGTAGCAGATATGAAGGGAATAAAATGAGTTATATTTTCAACATAAAAGCTCAAAGGCATAGAAAGAAACTATTTTCAAAGTGTGAGTCAAGACATGCGATGCCCTCTCACGGCTGCTGAGAAGCTTCTGGAACTCCCACGAGTCCATGATACTTTCAGTCTCCCTCGCCAAGATGGGAAAATAATGCCTGCCTTTCTCCAATGGTCCCAGGGCCCAGCGGACACAGGGAACCAAGAGGCTTTCCCCTGAAGACGTGGCGTCCATGAGGGACCTTCTGACGCACAACATGTACCAAGTGCGGCAGAGGGTGAGTATGGCTGCCGGGCTGGCTGCTGCTGGCATCCCAGGGCCGTCTTTCCAGTCACCCCTGCCTCACCCTCCGCTCTAAGCAGCCTTTCTGCTGGACAACTGCTCCCTGCTTGGTGTGGAGAACAGAGCGCTAATTGTTATGCTTCTGCTGCAGAGTTGGAACCTGTAGTAGGAAAAGAAATGAAAATCCAGTGGCTGGTTGCAGGGGTCAGGCCCCTCCCTCCGAGGGCAAATGTGGGGCCAGCAGCCGCCACAGACAGGACAGCCCAGGCCGAGGTGGCTGCCTCCAGCTGAGCGACTGCAGCGGAGCTCAGGAAGCTGAGAGGGTTTGGCGAGAATGCTGAAAGCCTTCACAATAAAAAGGAGCTGTCTTGGGCCTGTTAATTCTCAGCTTTGGGGAAAGGTGTAGCGTCCACCCCACACTTGGGAAGGCCAGTGGCTGGGCTCTTCTGAGACTTGGACTTGGTCCAATGAGAGGCACACCTGCGTCCTCTCATAGGAGTTTGAGTTTGAGGATTCGATTGAACTTCCCAAGTCTGAGTATGAGTATAAACGAGTTGTTTATGAGGGCCTTGGTTTTGGGGAATATGTCATCAATCAGTCTTGATGGGACCGAAAAAATGATCTAGTAGAAAACAGGGAGTTGTTGACCTGACTGTGGAAGGTCACAGAACAACACCTGAGCCCGGGCCCTCTGACTGCTGCCCGCACTCCTCCCAGGTGGGCTCAGTTCACAGGGCACGGGGCAGAGGGCTTCTAGCTTCCTGCGGGGAGGGCAGTGGTTGAAGGGCTGTGTCACGCGGTCTCTGCACCTGCTGAAGGAACACAGCGGAGCAGCCACCTAGCTCGCTCAGGGCACATGCGGCAGCTCCCACTCCTTCCAAGTGAAACTGTTTGGTGGAGTATCACATTCTGCCTTTGCCAAATAGTTAAGCACTTCCTGGTTTAAAGAATGTGGGCTATATGAGAGCCAGAGCCCAAAGCCTGCCTCGAACTCAGCCTTTCCCCAGGGTGAAGAGGTTGGATTTAGGGAAGGCTCCAGAAATGGAGACGGAGCCCTGGGTCTGCAGCGGTCCACACGGAGGCTAGCTGCCAAGCTCCCTTTGCTTCCGTGAGCAGTTACCAGGGAGCCACCGCCTGCGTTTATCAGGGTGCCTGTCCAGTGTCCTCTGGGATCTCCCCCAGGCTGCGCCTGCCTTGTTGTCCCCACATAAGCAGGTGGGTGTGGAAAGTCACACGGGGAACCACAAATAATAAACATCAGGAGTTCCAAGCCTCCAAGGGGGCTTTTGCCTCCACCTTTGCTACTTTGAGAGAGTGGAACTTCCTCTCTTTCTAGGTCATGTGACTCCTCACCTCCTCCACGGTCCTCTTGCTCTCGTGGAGGAAATAGAGCTCTAAAGGTGCCACCAGAACAGCCATTTGACTGCTTTGTTCCTAGTGGGCAATCTACAGTTTTGAGGATTGTCACAAAAGGTGACATCTTTAGCCCTCCAGCCTGGTGACAGGTCACCAGGCCCCACACAGCTCACAGTCCCCTTCTTGGAAGAGGCCACCTTGAGAGTCAGGAGTCCCATCTGGGCAGGGCCGGATGAGCACAGGGCTGGACTCTGGAGGATCCTAGGATGCAGTGGCTCTGAAACAGCAGGCCCTGCGGGCTCTGTTCTCCCTAGGACCACTCGACTACTCCCGTTTGAAGCTATACGCTCAGCACATCTAGGACAAGGTCTTCACTGGGAGGGAGTTGAAGAACTCACCCCTGGAGATTCTCAGGGGAACAACTGCAGCAGAAGTGCTGCGAACGCAGTGGGGATGGACACTGAGAAACACTCCACATTACACGGGAAAACATCAGCCTTCGCCCAGACCCGAGAATAAGTCACAGACTGATGGGCAGTCCCTGGGCTGGCCTAAATGATGAGGTCACACTCGGAATTTCAATACGCTTTATTTTCCTTTCTATTAAATTTATTGGGGTGACACTGGTTAATATGATCATATAGGTTTCAGGTGTGGGTTTCTATGTTACAAGATATGTATGTGTTCATCACCCAAAGTCAAATGTCCCACCACCATATTTATTTATTTATTTATTTATTTATTTATTTATTTATTTATTTATTTTTATTGTTTAAAGTATTACATATGTCTCCTTTTTCCCCATTGATCCCCCCCCCACGCCCGAGGGCAAGCCTCCACCGCCCCAGTGTCTGTGTCCATTGGTTATGCTAATATGCATGCATCAAGTCTTTTGATTGATCCCTAACAACCCCCCTCCCCTGCCCCTTGTCGCTGGAACTATTTTTGTTCATCAGTTTATGTTGATCATTATATCCCACAAATGAGTGAGATCATGTGATACTTATCTTTCTCAGACTGGCTTATTTCACTTAGCACGATGCTCTCCAGTTTCATCCATGTTGTTGCAAATGGTAGGAGTACCTTCTTTTTTACAGCAGCGTAGTATTCCATTGTGTAGATGTATCACAGTTTTTTAATCCACTCATCTGCTGATGGGCACTTAGGTTGTTTACAAATCTTAGCAATGGTAAATTGTGCTGCTATGGACATAGGGGTGCATATATCCTTTCTGTTTTCTTGAGATATATTCCTAGAAGTGGGATTACTGGTTCAAGTGGAAGTTCCATTTTTAACTTTTGAAGAAAACTCCATACTGTTCTCCACAGTGACTGCACCAGTCTGCATTCCCACCAGCAGTGCACAAGGGTTCCTTTTTCTCCACATCCTCGCCAGCACTTGTCTTTTGTTGATTTGTTGATAATAGCCATTCTGACAGGTGTAAGATGGTACCTTATTATCTTTTTGATTTGCATCTCTCGGATGATTAGTGACTTTGAGCATGTTTTCATATGTCTCTTGGACTTCTGTATGTCCTTTTCCAAAAAGTGTCTATTTAGGCCCTTTGCCCATTTTTAAATTGGATTGTTTATTGTCCTTTTGTTAAGTTGTATGAGTTCCCCATAAATTTTGGAGATTAAACCCTTATCAGAGAGAACATTGGCAAATATGTTCTCCCATGCAGTGGACTTTCTTGTTGTTTTGTTGATGGTTTCTTTTGCTGTGCAGAAGCTTTTTATTTTGATGTAGTCCCATTTGTTCATTTTCTCCTTAGTTTCCATTGCCCTAGGAGCTGTATCGGTAAAGATATTGCTATGACATATGTCTGATATTTTGCTGCCTATGGAGTCTTCTAAGATTTTTATGGTTTCCAGTCTTACACTTAAGTCCTTTAACCATTTTGAGTTTGTTTTTGTGTATGGTGTAAGGTGGTGGTCTAGTTTCATTTTTTTGCATGTATCTGACCAAATTTCCCAACACCATTTATTGAAGAGACTGTCTTGACTCCATTGTATGTTCTTGCCTCCTTTGTCAAATATTAATTGAGCATAATGGCTTGGGTCAACTTCTGGGTTCTCTGTTCTGTTCCATTGATCTATATGTCTGTTCTTGTGCCAGTACCAGGCAGTTTTGAGAACCATAGTTTTTTAATATAGCTTGATATCTGGTATTATGATCCCAACAACTTTGCTCTTATTTCTCAAGATTGCTGCAGCTATTCGGGGTCTTTTTTTATTCCAGATGAATTTTTGGAGAGTTTGTTCTAGGTCTGTGAAATATGCCATTAGCATTTTAATGAGGATTGCATTGAATTTATAAATTGTTTTGGGTAGCATGGACATTTTAATGATGTTGATTCTACTAATCCATGAACACAGTATGTTCTTCCATTTGTTTATGTCTTCCTCTATCTCTTTTTCAATGTCCTGTAGTTTTCTGAGTATAGGTATTTTACCTCCCTCCTTAGTTAAGTTTATGCCTAGGTATCATAATCATTTTGGTGCAATGATAAATTGGATTGTTTTTTTACTTTCTCTTTCTGTAAGTTCATTATTGCTTATGAAAAAGCCATAGATTGCTGGATGTTAATTTTGTATCCTGCTACATTGCTTAATTCATTTATTAAGTCTAGTAGTTTTTTTTATGGAGTCTTTGGGGTTTTCTATGTACAGTATCATGTCATCTGAGAATAAGGACTGTTTTATTTCTTCTTTTCCAATTTGAAAGCCTTTTATTTCTTCTTCTTGTCTAGTTGGTATGACTAGCACTTCCAGTACTATATCGAACAGGAGTGGTAAAAGTGGGCATCCCTATCTTGTTCCTGTTCTTAGGGGAAATGGGTTTAGTTTTTGCCCATTGAGTATGACGTTGGCTATAGGTTTTTCATATATGGCCTTTATTATGTTGAGTTATGATCCCTCTGTTTCCACTTTGCTGGGAGTTTTTATCAGGAAAGGGTATTGGATTTTTTTAAATGCTTTTTCTGGACCGATTGATATGATTATGTGATTTTTGTCTCTCAATATGTTTATGTGATGTATCACATTTATTGATTTGCAGATATTATACCATCCTTGCATCCCCATGATTAACCCCACTTGGTCATTGTGAATGATCTTTCTAATGTAATACTGGATCCGATTTGCTAGAATTTTGTTGAGGATTTTAGTATCTATGTTCATTAAGGATATTGGCCTGCAATTCTCTTTCTTTGGGGTATCTTTATCTGGTTTTGGAATTAGGGTATTGCTGGCTTTATAGAACGAGTTTGGAAGTGTGCCTTCCTCTTGAATTTTTTGGGATAGTCTGAGAAAGATAGGTTTTAGTTCTTTGAATGCTTGGTAGAACTCCGCTATAAAGCCGTCCAGACAAGGGCTTTTGTTTGCTGGAAGATTTTTATCACTGCTTCAATTTCTTCGGTAGTTGTCAACCTATTTAGGTTTTTTGATTCTTCCTGATTGAGTCTTGGAAGCTTGTATTTTTCTAAGAATGTGTCCATTTCATTTAGGTTGTCCAGTTTGTTTTAGTAGAGTTGTTCATAGTATTTTTTCATAATCCTTTGTATTTCTGAGGTGTAGGTTGTTACTTCACCTCTTTCATTTCTGATTTTGTTCATTTGGGTCCTCTCTCTTTGCTTCT